TAGCCTGTGATTACTTTTTTTCCCCCTCTACACGTGAACATAAGCCAAGTTCCGAACCATGTAAATGTCTAGTGTTTATTCTCTATTGCTCACTCAATCTCCAGAACTCCACACAATAAGAAATTAGCCTCGTAATTATACAATGATGTCGATTTTAGGTCAATCTTCTGTCATTCTCTTTCCTATCGCTCATGAATAATGGCGAGATTTTTGTGCAGCCACATTCATGTGATGCTACTTGCAACAGCAGCTTATGTTGTATGCATACTTGGGATAATTCTTATGTACATTTGGTACACGCCGCAGCCTGCTTGCCTTCTCAACATTTTTTTCATCAGTTGGACTATAGTACTTCTCCAACTCATGACCAGTGTATCTCTTCACCCAAAAGTAAGTCAGTTTTGTGCTCTCTCCGTCAGTTCATTTTTGCTCAATATTTTAATATCTAAAACCATTACATACTTTCAAAACAGGTGAATGCTGGCTTTGTGACTCCTGGATTTATGGGGCTCTATCTGGTGTTTCTCTGTTGGTCTGCCATCAGAAGGTGTGCTATTTAATTTGTGATCTTTTAATGCCTTCAATTAATAGTATGCATCTAAAAAATATAGTTTCGAACACTATGTATGATAATAGTGTTTGAAACTTCCATACAAATATGAATACACTGTGTCGCGTATACATGTAATCCCATATCCAAAGACATGCAAGATTATTTCTATATGGTTCTTCCAAAGAGAGGATGATTCACATTACTTGTTGGATTCATGAGGATAGGAATAAGGCCTTTTTACTTGCAAAATGAACAATATTAGAAGAAGATGGTGCAATAACATTCTGTTACAGCGACATTTCCTTGCCAATGGGGGGATTTTGTTGTCCTCATTTCCCTCTTCTCTCAGATTCTCTGTCTCACTTCTGTGTTTGCAGTGAACCACCTGAAGGGAAATGCATTCAAAGAGCAGGAACTGCAGCAAAAAGAGATTGGCTAACCATCATTGTAATTCTCAGACATTATTTCTCCTAAGAAAATACACAAGATAAAAGATTTAAGGAAATTTACTTTTATTTTAGATTTAATTCAATAGTTGGAGACATAACAAAGAGGCTATTGCAAAATCAGTCTTGTCTGCAAATATTTTCTCTTGCTCCATAACTAATGCAATTTTGTTTGATCTTGATAGAGTTTTGTTGTTGCGGTTCTTGCAATGGTTATTGCAACATTTTCAACCGGCATCGATTCTCAATGCTTTCAGGTTTCACCAGTGCTACTCTCTTCTAGCATTCAATTTTACCGTGTCGTTTTCAAAATTTTCATTTGACAACACACTGTGCAGTTCAGGAAGAAGGAGATACAGGAAGAAGATGATGTTCCTTATGGTTATGGATTCTTTCATTTTGTTTTTGCCACTGGAGCCATGTACTTTGCAATGCTCTTAATTGGTTGGAATACTCATCATACCATGAAAAAGTAGGTATTTTTGCAATGCCATTCTTGTTTCACTTTGAGCCCATGATTGTCTACCATTCCCCAATTCCTTTTCTTTTTTTCCTTTTTTTTTTTTTACTCATTTTCAATCACACGTACTCCAAATAAAATATTTTACATGTAAACTCAAATTTTTTTCATACTTTTTAACTACATATTTTTCAAAAAATCACTATTCCAAAACTCATTTTCCCCAAAATACTCATGTCCCAACTACTTATTGATTACATAAGTTGACTCAACACAGGTGGACAATTGACGTCGGCTGGACCAGTACTTGGGTGAAGATAGTGAATGAGTGGCTAGCAGCCTGCATTTACAGTAAGTAATTTCGTCTTTCTTCCCATCCTAGCTTGTTTATATTATGAGCAAACTTGGCTTTGTTTGGCCCTCACCTCACTTCCTACCATTGTTCTATAAACAAAGACTTCTGATAATGCAGTATGGATGCTAGTGGCTCCAGTCATTTGGAAAAGCAGGCAAGCAGCTGAAGCTGAATTACCAACACCTTGACTGTTAAGCTCAATGGAACTGTTTTTCTAGCACCATCTCCATAAATTCTGTGGCTCGCTCTTGCTCCGGAAACGAAAATATCCTATTGGATTTGGACTCAAGATCGAACATGACTAGCCAGCATTCTTTGTAGTGCTCATAATTTGGAGCAAGAAAAGAAAAGAAAAGAAAAGCAGAAAGTCTTGATACATGTGAATAATATATAGTCATGGTGTCACATAGCAATGCATTCTTTTAACAGTAGAATCTCTTATTTTCTTAATTATATTAATCAAATGAAGAAGAAAATGATTTTTGAGAATTCTGGCTCGCTCGATTACTGAGTTGAGCATAAATGAAAATTTTCCTTTACGTAAATCTATTTATGTCGTGTTGACAAACCTTTACTTGCATAATAGATAATGAAAATTTAGTATATTGGAGAGAGGGAAATCTAGCAGGATTATGAAGAGGGCAACTTGTGAGAACTGTTAATCTTGAAAAAAATAAAAAACTTACAATTTATTACCTCGATCCAAATTTCAATAAAATGAAAAAAGAGACATCAAGCAAATTTAGGACTCGTACCCATCAAAAAATTTAGAGTCTATTTGGAAGTGATTTTTCCCCCCAAAAAATTGATTTTTTGACTATTATTTCACTATTTCAGCTGTCATATTTGACTTCTTCTCTCACAGGTGGATCTCACTTTTATCGCAACAGTCAAAAAATCAATTCTCAAAATCACTCCCAAAGAAACTCTTAATCGAGTATTTTAATTAATTAATAAGAAGCTCTACATCAAAAAACTGTAAAAAAACAAACATTTAAAATCGGGAATGGAGTTTTCGTTTTTGTTTATTTTTTATTTTTTGGGCATTAGACAACTGATAAGGGTAAATATTATACTTATCTTAATCGTCAAAATATGACTTTTGAAAATAATTTTATAAACTAGATACTTAATTCTGTGTATTTTTTATTATTTTAGAAGAAACCCTAATTTTAGACGATAACAGATGAAAAGGATAAAAAATGAGTAAAATTGAACATATTTGGGAAGTTGGGGATTGGGGATTGGGATGTCCTTAAACTTTTAAACGTGAGTAAAATTGAACATATATTGGAAGTTAGGGATCAAGGAGTCCAATTTGAAAGTTTAAGGACCTCAGTTGTAAAATTTAAGGACTCAATTTGAATTAAAAGGGGAAATGGAGACAAAATTGCACAAGTATTAAATTCCAACAATTTGAGACATCGACAAAAATTATGATTCTTTATCCTCTTGGGACTCTATTGTAATCTAATTCAGGTCTATAAATATAGAATCTTTGATTCAAAATTAGAGGATGCTAGAGATACAATTATGATGCATAATTACTCATTTAAATACATTGAATCCTCAAGATTTGAATCTCAATTTGGGATTTGAAGGTTGAAGAACAAAATTAGTCGGGAGATATAAGTTTGGAGGAGGAGATTGATGATCAATTGTAGGTCTCAAAGAACAACAATTGCTAGGATTATTTTTTTATTCCTTGTATTGAACCCGTTGATTTTTTATAAGTGCAATTTGTGCACTTATTTATGTTATATTATCAAATTTTTAAACCGTCAAATTATTGATTTTTACTTAATTTAGGTAGTGGTGGTGGTTGTTATTGTTATTATTATTTTTAGGATCATTCTATGTGTACACTTTATGGTGTACACAATAGATTACACCCCCCTCCACATGGAGGGGGGCCATGAATATTTTATTGTATGTGGACCCCTTCCATGTGCCGCGGTGTAATGCTTTGTGTACATTATTATGTACACATAGTACAATCTTATTATTATTATTATTATGGACTCCTTCGAAGTACTTGGAAAAAAATGAATAATGAAATTTGCAATTTTGGGAATCAAAGTCTCACTATAAAAATTGAAGGACTGATTTGCATTAATTTGAAAGATTGGATGACTTGGAGAAACACAAAGTCAATGAGCCATCTACCAATTGGAAAATACGAGATAGAAGGACAGCAGTAGCAACTTGGAGAATAAATCACGTTTCATGATTTTTTGTTATGTCGTTTCACTTTTATGTGTTTAATTTCGACATTATGCTAGCTAAATTATTTTGTTCTAAGATTTTCGATGAACTTTGTATTATAAACCTTTAAATCTTAATTTTATTTATTTTGACATTCAAAGCACGTTTTCAATTATTAAATGATTGACATGGATTTAATTTTTTCTACAATTATATATGCAATAATTGTATGAATTTTGTGGCTTGTTTTACCTTCGAAAAATGGAAAATAAGTTAGACAATATTAATTGTCACAGAGTTCGATAGATGACAGAAATATAAAACTATAATTTATGTGATCTTTAAGTTCTCATAAATCTTTAATATATTTTTACATGTTCACATCCATCATAGAAATATAGTTAGGTTGCATGTAAAAATAGATTTAATTCTACTCGAGAGATATTGTTAAATAAATTAGGAATATTGGTCCTCATAATTGAATCATATTGTCAGTGTCATAAAATTCAAGGTTAAAGGGGATTGATACAAGAGGGATTGAGATCCTAGTACGCTTTTCCTTATTGTATTTTTATAACACTTGCATTTAATTATAATCTTGCATTTGTTTTTGTTAGGTTTTGTATTCATAAGTAGATTATTTAATTTATAAGAAAAATTATGATTTTCAATTGCTTCGATTTAGGTTAAGTTAATTCGAATTTGAACTAGTACAATCTCTGTGGGAACAATACTTAGACTCAAAAATCAATTTTACTACTTGTTAACAAATCGTACACTAGCGGTGGTTTAATTTTGAAAGATATTTTCATGAAAAAGTTTTTGTCAAGGATTGTATTTGAGTTTAATTTCATTTATCTTAGCACTAATTCGAACGTTTTGCTTTTATTTTATTTTTCTCTTCTAGGCATTTTATGTGAAATTCGAGGGACGGAGAATTGATACCAACCGATCTAGAAATCGAACGTGCATTTTACCGTAGGCAAAGAGAAGCAACAACAGCAAGAGATGGCTAATACACAAAATAATCTAATTATTCAAGTAAACGGAGGAGCAGTGGTCGATGAAGGAAAATGCTAGCTGGAGACTTAGTCACAAATTAGTCAGAGTCAATTTAGGATCGTGTATCCTCCATTTGGACAACCGAACTTTCAGCTGAAGATCAATGTCATCCATTTCTTTCAGAATGGACATCAATTCTACGGCAAGGCAGATGAAAATCCACACACACGTTTCTCAATTTTTTGAGATGTGCCAACACTTTAAATATCAAGGAGTTTCAGATGATGCTATCATATTGAAATTATTCTCCCATACTCTACGAGATAGAGCACTTGAATGGTTATTCTCACAACCTATTGCTCATATCACTATTTGGAATGACTTAGCTTAAAACTTTTGCACCAAATTCTTCCCACCACCAAAGATATCAAAATTGAAACATGACATCCATTTTCGCAGGAGAAAACCAAATCCTTTGATGAAGCTTGGAATAGGTTCAAAATCATGCTTTAAAAGTAACCTCATCATAGCATTAGTAAAGGGCTTTAGGTCCAATATTTTTATGTAGGTCTATTTCCATTTTACAAGAGCATGATGTACTCTTCATCTAATGGCTCCTTGTACACAAAGATAATTGATGAAGCCTTGGAATTGTTTGAGAGAGTGGCTACTACCACATCCATGTGGACCTTTGAGTGGGTTTTTAAATTGAAGGTACCAAGAGCATACGAGGTGGACACTTACACAACATTATCTGCAAAATTTGATTATTTGGTTCATAAGTTTGAAAGCATATCACATTCAGTCAATGCAAGTAGAGGTCAAGCCTCTAAGTTGTGAAGAACATGGGACAGATCATATTACAGCATATTGTCTAATTCTTGCACAAGATACAGAACAAGTTGACTATGTTCAAGGGGGTCAGGCTAACAAAATAATCTATATTCTGATTACTACAACCCTGGTTGGAGGAAGCACCCATTTTTTTTTTTTTTGGAGTAATCAAAATCCTATTGCATTGCATGGTAATGAGTATCAACAGGCTGAAAAGAGAATTCCACTGAAAGAGATGTTTGGTAAATTTCTAAAAAAGACAGAGCACTACATAGAGGCAAACAATCAATTCACGAGAAAGACTAAGACAACCCTTCAAAATCAAAGTTGCAATAAAAAATCTGGAAATTCATATGGGATAGATGGTACTTGCTATATCAAGTAGGGCACCGGGTATCGTGCCAAGTAATACTGAGACTAATCCCAAAGAGGAGGTAATGACCATAAGTATTTTAGAATATAAAATAATTGAGAATCCATCTGTGAAAGCAATCACAACAAGAAGTGGAGTAAAGTTGCACGAGATTACAATCAAAAGACCAGTTGCAATTATGAACAAAGTACATACAACAAATGAGGAGCAAGTGGATGAGTCTAAACAATCAAGCAAGAAAAATTTGAAAGAATATTCACACAATCTACAAACTAAGACAGCTGATCCCATCAAAGAATATGTAGTTCTTATCCCATTTCTACAAAGGTTGAAGAAACACAAGTTAGACCAACAATTTGAGAAATTTCTAGATGTGCTAAAGAAACTCCACATCAATATCCTGTTCATAGAATCAATAAGGTAGATTCTAAGCTATGCAAAAAATTTTAACGACGTGATATTAAAGAAGAGAAAACTTCTATAATTTGAAACTATGGCGCTAACAGAGGAGAGCAGTGCAAGAGTACAAAATAAACTACCTCCCAAGTTCAAGGATCCATGGAGTTTCACTTTACCTACTTCAATTGGAGACGCTGGTTTTTTAATGCTTTATGTAATACATGTGCAAGTATTAACTTAATGTCTTTATCTGTGTACAGGAAATTGGGATTAGGAGAAGCAAAAGAAACAACAATGTTATTGAAGCTAGCCAATAGAAGCATCAAATATTTAAGAGGCAAGGTTGGGGATATACTCATCAAAGCTAGCAAATTGATATTTTCGACAGATTTCATTGTTCTAGACATAGAAGACATAGGGATATTTCAATAATCTTTGGGCGACCCTTTTAGCAATAGTTCGAACTTTGGTTGATATGGAGAAATGTGACCAAATCTTAAGAGTCGATGAGGAACAAGAAGTTTTTAAATTACATAATACATACAAGCAACAATCAGACTTCGACGAGTGTGATTGTATTGATGAAGATGAACCATCCATTCAATAAAACTGTCAGAAGAAATAACCAAAATTTGGAGAAATTTTTGGTAGAGACAAGAATGGAGAATTCAAAGTT